CAGTCTAGCATGCCCTTGCTTGAAGAGGAACGAGAAAAGAACCACACCCCTTTTTATTAATAAATAGGCATTTAGTGAAGGTGCGATATGTGATGTGCTTGCTCCTCTCGGCAGGGAGGCAGGAATCTTAGCAAGTCCAGGGGTTCCAGACCCTTGGAGCAGAGCAGAGAGTAAGCCTTGGAACATGTGGCAGCTGATGACTGTCACTCTTAAAAAGCCACTTGGAATGCAACCTGTGCATTTGCCTTCATCTTTTACTACCCGCCAGACTGTTTACTGGAGCAACCTTATTACCAATCTCCTAAAAATGCCCATAAAATCCATATATCACAGACGATAGCATTATTACAGCTGCCAGTCTACATGATGAGCCTCTGCAATTACTAGCCAGGGGCTGGGTGAAGCAGGCCACGGTCACCAGGTCCCATAGTGAATACCGCGTGGCCCACAGAACTAGCTTCAGAAAGGAGAAAGGAGAAAAGAAGAAAGAGATCTCCACCATTTCTTTTTTCAGAGCCTCTCTTTTTAAGGACCCTTTTCTGAAGGTGTTTTCTTTTTTCCTCCCTTTGTTCTTTTAGTCACACAGATCTCTCTCCACCTACTGTCCCTCTTAGCCTCAAGAAGCAGATGTGGGACCTTAGAGAGACAACTTCATAGTTTTCCTTGCCCCTGCTGGAGGACTGGCAGCTGCCACAGGCCCTGGAGGGGGCTGAGGAGTGGTGCAGGCCTGGTGGGTTGCAGCTGTGGGAGAAATCTCAGATGAATTTCAAAACATGCCTTTGCTTTGGAGTGATCCAAAGCCACAGTGGGGCCTGTGTGTTTTGCTATATGAACAAGCACAGAGGGAAGGAGAACACGCAGCCTCTCTCTCTTTCTCTCTCTCTCTCTCTCTCTCCCTCCCCCCACCCCCAGCTGCTAGGTGACTGTGTAGAGGACACAGAGAAATGTTCCCAGCTCTGTGCCCTGGGTATGTGCCTACCTTGAACAGAGAAGTCCTGGAGAAGGTGGAACACAGCCTTTTCTACTGTGCTGGGTTCTCATCTGTGCAAAGTGCAAGATGTGTAACAAGAATGTCAAGGCAGGGCCAGCCCTGAGGTCCTGCCAGAAAGTTCTGCAAGGGAATTGGGGTGCTGTTATGTGGGCTCCTGCAACAACTTCCAGGACAGAATCAAAGATGGGCAGCTCCCAGTTACCCCCTGTCGGGGCTTTGTCTCCTCAGCCTTGTACTAGGCCCTTCAGGAATGACTTCTTGCATAATAGAAATAAGCTAGTGATAAATGTTGCTGAAAGGATTCTGATGTGACAAAAGTTCATGCAAAGAAAATGCCCATCTCAGGTTATCACAGCCTTATCACAAAGTGGGATGCAGTGGACGCAGTGCTCACAGAAGGGTTTGTCAAATATTCCTTGATTAAGCACACCATGCCTTATACCCTATCAGAAGACAAACTCACAGCCTATTGGCTTCCCTACCTGTCAAATGGATGGTTCATTGATGAACCCAACAGATTTACAACATGCATTTCCTTATGCACATAGCTGTGCGTGTTCATGGTCACATAAGACAGGCCCCCCACCCCCTCTGTCCCATGCCTGTCCTCATGATGCTATATGGTTGGAGGCATGAGATTCCTTTTGAAAGTCAATTCTTTGCAGAAGGAGGTGGGAAAAGAGAACGCTGGCTTCCTTTCCTTTACGATGTTGAAACTCCTTTCACAGAGAGCTTTACTCCCCAGTCATAGCTCTAGAAGGACAAGGAAGTCAGATAAGCCTGGAAGGAGGAGGCTAGGGAATCTCACAGCCCCAGGAACTGCAGTTGTAATGGGAAATAGTCCTCCAGACAAGCCGTGTCTTTCACGTCCTTCGCCCCAGAGCTATGTCAGTGCCCAGTGTATAGAGAAACACAATCCCTTATCTGCAATTCCAGATTCAAAAAATGGGAAAACCTTGTAAGTCATTTTGCAGTGAAGCCTGCTCTAGGTATTGTCAAGGTTGCAAAGTCAAATGGAACAGAGTGAGGCAACAGACTAATAAATAGCAAAATGGAAGAAGTGCTAAAAGCTAATGCAAGTGGCAAGCTGTTAGTCCTTCTGGGTGAGCCTAGAAATCTTAGGTTGGGCTTAAATTATAGACCAGATTTCCAAAGATAAAGGGGTAGACACAAACTTGGGGTAGCATTTACAGCTTTCCAAGAATTTACCCTAGTTTTTATATTATTTTCTTCCCATATAGTCTTCAAGTTCTTCCATAGCTGACTTAGCCCTGTTTCTTTCCCACTCTTTCCACCTGGTTCAGTAAAAGTCATCCTGAGGATTAGCTTGGGAACTGTAGGAAGAAAAACATCATCTCCCAGAATTCTCCTACTCTGCAGGAAATAATTCTGTACCTTGAACATAGGTATGATCAAAAACATTTTCTTAAATGAATAGAAACTTGAGTGTGACTTTTATTTTCAAGTAATAAATGTTTTTTTTTTGTTTGTTTGTTTGTTTATACATGCACTGGGTATAGTCAGAAGCGCGGGAGGGTGAGAGAATTCACCAGAGCCAGAGCGGGGAGCAGAGAAGGCAGAAGGACGGAAGTACACTGCTGAGGGGAGCAGCGGGTGGCAGGAGAGGTCTGCGCGCCATGAGGGACACTCCTCCGGTGGCCAGGGAGCAGCCGGGGATCAAACCGGCGCCGCAGAGGCCACGGGCAGCTTCGCAACCCAGCGCTCAACCACTGCGCCACCAGGGAGGCCCTAAGTAATAAATATTTTTAAGGCAGTTTTATCTCAGCAAAATCAATCAGGAAGTGCAGAGGACTCCCCCAATTCCCAACCCCCAAATACATGCATAACCTCCTCCATTATAAACACCACCCACCAGAATGGTTTCTTTGTGACCATTAGTTATTATTATTTTAATGTCCCTTTGTGTTTATTTAAGAGTGGTGATGGATACCCCCAGGCATAGCCACCCCCCATCAAATTCAGAGCCCATTTTCTTCTCCCTTTTAGAGGTTCTTACTCAACTGAGAAACTTGCAGAGCTGCAAAGCTGCCCAGAAGAGCCAGAACAGGATTACAAACTCTGAGAGGTGTAAGTACTGAGAAGGCAGGGAAATCGTTCCTGTGCAACAGAGGGAAACTCATAAGCATAGATATTAAAGATGGAAAAAGCCTGTGAGATCATCTCCCGCCTGTGGATCCAGAGTGGGGGAAGTGGACCAGCACACTGGCTCCTGACACTTCATCGCTGGGGAGACCAAGCCTCTGAGCAGGGCAGCTTGAGCCAGTGGTCCCTTTTCCACGAGTACCACTGAAGCACCAAACCCTTAAAACTATTTACCCTACAGTTTACAAAGCACAGTTTTAATTTCCTTGCCGCCTCCCAGCATCCCAATGTTCAGGGTGCAGAGAATTCTCCCCTATCACAGATGAGGGAGCCTGGGGAACAGGATGGTAGCTTCTGCCAGCTGGTGAATGGGACAGTGAGCCCCTGAGCCCTGAGGCGTGGAGGAAGGGGTGTCACTCTCAGGGATCCCGCCACCTTCTGTGATTAAACCACATCAGTTATTCTTAGTTTGATATCCAGAAAAACAACATATAGCCATTCTTCTCAAGGACAGGACAATGCTGGGGTGTCCCAGTGTCATGGGGCGAGGTGTGGGTTCTTGACGCTAGACTGGGCAGTGGGTGTTGAAGCTGAGAGTTGTGGAAGCAACAGAGCCACAAAATGTTCCAGGGCACCCTCAGGGGTGAATGTCTCTTGGCAGGACCACCCCCTCTCCCTTACAGAGGCCACCAGGCAGTAACACAGGGATGGGACTGCTGGGGTGGTTGGGGATGGTTTGGAGCAGTAGCGCAGATGCAAGAGGAGGACATGTGACTGCATGTCCAAAACTGGAGACTTGCATACCCAGAGGCGGGGATCTTAGTATTAAAATGAGGAGCAGGTCCCAGAAAGTGCAGGGTTCCGCTCAGGGCGCATGTGACTCCTGGGTCACACCCTCCTGTCCCAGCCACTGTGCCTGCCGCCTTGTTGTACTGGGAACAGAGAGTAAGTACCGATCTGCTGCTAATCTCTAAGCCATGCTTTACGTGCACATTTGTTAGTGTCCTTGTTTTGCACGGGGAAAGACACGAGCACACATAAGTGGCACTTCTCAGTAAGAAAGTCTTAGTTAGGTAATTTTAGGAAACGCTTGTGCATGTTTCCTCCTGTGATCCCTGCAAGGTGCTCACCTCCTCATGAAATGATGACTTCTAGAGGGGAAGGAGGGCACAGCTTTTCCTGGAAATATGTGGGGGCTATTCTGGTTTGGGAGTGATTCTTGAATGAAAACTTTCAGATGCAGCATCAGGCTCAGGCAGGGGGTCTGGTCTGGTGGGTACTTTTTTAAAAAAAAGATTATTTATTTATTTATTTATTTATTTATTTATTTATTTATTTATTTATTTATTTATACAAGAACTGGAGTACAGTCAGAGGTGAGGGAGGGTGAAAGAATTCACCAGAAATAGAGCGGGGAGTAGAACAGGCAGATGGACCAAGGACACTGCTCAGGGGAAGAGGAGGTAAGACAGGAGAGGCCCACTTGCCATGTGGGTTTCTCCCTGGCCAGCAGGGAATCGACCCCACGTGCAGAGGCTGCAGACAGCTTCACAGCATGGTGCTCAAGCCGCTGTGCCACTGGGGAGGCCCTGGTGGGTACTTTTTGAGTTATCCCTGTGCACTCAGAGATATTTGGAGGAGAAAAGACAGAAAACTAAAAACTCTACGAAGAGGCTAAAAAGAAGTGGGGTATTTATGTCTGCTGAGAAAATGAAACTGGCAGGCCACTAAGTAGATTTTAAAGTATCTATTGCTAGCATGTTGCGGGGGTGCTTGGTATCCAATGTGGTGATGGGCTGTTTCTGAAAGGAGTGGACAGGGAGTCTGTCACCTCTGGGGCAGAGAGGACTGTGAGCAAACAGTGGTGTGAAGGCTGGGCCCCTGGAAACAGATGCCAGGCCCACTGGACTCAGCATCCTGCTGCCCAGACAGACCCTAGCACTCTCTGGATGGGGATCTTCTGCTCTGAGGGAGGGTACAGCAGAAAATTAGCCCCACAGAGTGATTTCTGAATACCAAGGCAAACCATGGATTCTGTCTGACAAAGGAGGGCTAGAGACTTGAGTGAGTTCTTCCAGCTGGGTGAGAGGGGAGTGGAAGAGAGCAAGCAGAGAGAGGAGAGTCAGACTCAGACTCGGAGCCCTTTGAAAAGGTCCTGGAACCACTCTCAGAAAGTCCCCCTGTGGGCACTCTGTCCTTCTGCCTGCCCAGGCACGGCCAGGCTGACCCGAGGCCCCGCCTGTGAGAACAGAGGCGCCACACTCCTCACAACCACAGTGGCCATGTCTGAGGTCCCTCTTGATCTAGATGGTCTTTGCGTCTTCCCTCATTCCGCCCTGACCTTTCCGCAATGAAGAGAGGGGACAGGCAGCCCTGGGCGAGGGTGGTGAAGAGGGACAGCGAGCGCCGCAAAACAAAAGGAAAATAATGAAGAGAGCCTGGACCCCAGGGATGGGCTCCTTGCAAAGTCCTGAGTTTCATTAAATATAGAAAGGTAGGATGAAAAAATAATATTCACTCATTGTTACAGTTTCAAAGTGGGAAGCTGGCCTTGATTTCAAAGAACTTGTATGTAATGTGATGCATGGCTTTCTCTTCTGTCTCTCTTTTTATAGGTAAGTGACATTTCATTCTGCTCATCCCCAAGGCAAAGTTGGATGTTTTTAAAGTGGAAAAAAAATTGAGCGGAAAAAGAAACGGGGAAGGTGGGCAGAGGGCAGCACAGGTAGGTGCCTCTGATTCTTCGAATTTGCACACACAGACGAGGGGAGGCTCTCCCTCCAGAGCCGCCGGTGAATACCTTTCTCCAGGACTAGAGGTCCAGGTCATGTTTGTGGCTTTTGAGATGGAGATGCCTTTGCTCTTGGAAAGAGGTCATTTCTATCAAATGAATGGCGGGTGCTGTCACCCAGGGTCTTTTCCTGGAGAAGTTTCAAGTCTGAAGTGAGTTGGAGTTGAATACCCCATGTGATGTGTCCACTGCTTTGCTGTAGATTTATGATAGAAGAAATAGGGGGAAAACTGCAGACCTCTGGAAAGGCAGAATTAACACATTCCAGGGAGGAATATTAAGAATGTGGATGTGCATTTCCACATTCTCTATGGGGTGGGATGGAGATTTCTGGAAGGGCAGGAGGCTTATGGGGAAACTGAGATTCTCTGGTACATAGGGTCATTTGGTTAATTTTAAGGTCTAATTATATGGATGTTTTTTCCCCTCCCTGCCTGGTCACTGAGACATTAATACTACTATTTCCTCTTTGGTATGAAACAAAGGGTCTTTCTGATGCTGGAGGCTGATTTATAATTATCATCACCTTACCTTTTCTTGGTCATTCAAAGAAGGCATGTGTAAGTTCAAGACTGCTTTGGGCTTTCTACTGCTCTGAAATTCAGTCATTCTCCCTTAAGATTACAGGGGAAGTGCTTCTATTTTTCCTGTAAGTTGCAAACAATCCACTGAAATAATTGACTTATGACTGTTCACAAGCATTTATTTTCTTTGAGAGCGAGAAAGAGATGTAAAACATTTTATTTAACAGTCTGTAAATCTAGACTGGAAATGTAAAACTCAATTCAATAAGAATATTTAAAATGTGTAGCCTATTATATGTCTAATTAAAGAAGGTACACGGAATTGATGGGGACATGGGGTGGTAGGAAGGGGGGAAAGAAACAATTTCTTTCTGTGTAGAAGCCCTCCCAGGAGAAGCACTTATCCACACAGAAGAGAGGGAACTGGAGATATTAGAAATGCTAGAAAGAAGCAAACATACCAGAGGTTGCTATTAAAGATGTCTCAGTTCTGTTTCTAAAATTTGGATACACAGATGTTTTTTAACTTCTTTTTTCCTCAATTTCAACAAGGAGGGAAAAAGAAGTCAAATTACATCTTCCTGCCCTACAATGGGGAAAGTCTCACTGTAGACAGGACCTCACAGCATCTTGCTTCATCATGTCCTCTTGGAATCTTTGATTATGTTTTAAATGAAGGTGAGAGACTCATTCCATTTCATGGCTAGAGATAGGCCGGGGAATGCTTCTTGGTATTTGTCCTGCTTAGTGGGGAAAATGAAGCTGCTGCTCCTCTGGATCATGGCCAAAGGAGAACTCTGAGCACCCCCAATCTGCTTTACAAACAAAGAGAAAACTTGGAACCAAGAAGCAATCCCAAAATCCTGCCCAAAAGGGCAATACAAGGTGGGGCTCTTAGCCCTGGGGCTTTCTGTCCCCTTGTTGTCTCACAAGGCAGATTTCTCTTTGCTACCTTAAAATCAAGGCTGATGTTGACTTAGTTGGAGAATGTATCTTTTGTTTTGAAATTTGTCAACTCAATAAGGACTGTAACATAATCCCTTCCTTTGCTTGATATTTTATACCTTTCATGCAGATGCCAAGAGTTGGATGGTTGGGGAAAGGGTAGGATACATTGCATACTGGAGCTGGCCTTGTGACTGAGGCAGGACATTGGGAGACCCAGGTTATTGAGAGTGGAGGAAGTTGGTGTTTCGAATTTCTATTAAGGAGGTAATCTAGTGTATGTGAATTCTACAAGAAAACTTTCCACCGAGTATATGAGTGCATGGAATATATGTGAATGGTTCTAATGTGCTATGATCTTGGCATTATGACTTTGCACCTGCCTTAGAAACAACACATTCCAGCATCACCATGCCATATGAATGAGGGGGATTATGGGTGGCACTCACACATCCGTGTACCCCAAGCTCACTAACACTCACACATACACTCAGAAGTGCATAATTTTAGATGGAAACACACTAAGCAGCGATTTTTGCCTTTGGAAGGTAACAATGAGCAAAGACAATTTCCATAGTTAGATCTCACTGTTGTCTCCCAAGATATGTCTGTGTGTTCTCTTTCATCCCCATCTACCAAACACCTTGTCCAGTCACAGCATTTAACTTCACAACTCGGATGCCAAAGGCTCTAGGCTTTTAACCTGATTTGGAATCCATTGATCTGGCCATTTTCCTGGCTCAGGGCCCCAGGTTGGCACTGTCAGTCATGTAGGGCCCTTTTTGATCATCTCCCTCTGCTTCTCTCTGCATCCCATGACCTTCGTTGACTCCTCTGTCTGTCCACAACAGATTTAGCCTGGAAAAAGGTCAGTTCAGCCAATGGCGCTTGTGCTCCTTGGGTGCTGAGATTCTGTGTTTCTGGGAGGAGCAGTGAGAATGGGGTGACAGACACTGAAGAAGGAATCTATGGGATTCCACAGGAATCCAGGCTTCTGCCAGCCCTTTGCAGAGTCCTCTTTGGGGACACAGGAGTCCACTACTCTTTGGAAAAGGACTGTTTTGATATGTTTTTTAAAGCTAATACTGTGTGTCAAGTATCATACCAAGCAACACACACAGCCTCACATATTTACACTTGTTTTTTCCAAAACAATCTATGATGCTGGTTTTATACTCTTCTTTTTACAAGCAGGGAAATCAAGGCTTAAAGACATGAGATCAATTTTCCCAGGATCACATGGGCTTGAAGTCTGATTTTCAATTTGTTTGGCTCTTACTAGGACATCAGGGTCTTAACTGCCCAAACACCACCAACTTACACTATCTGAGAACAGAGGTGAAGGGGGAGGGGCTTTAAACCACATTGACCTTTTCTTGTTAGCTGTTTAGATCAATGGTAAACTTGACAGTTAGGGATTCTCTGGACAGGTTTTTAGAGGAGCCAGCACAGGAAGGTGGCAAAGAGCTGGGTACAGGCACAGAACAGGAGTTTGAGGTCTGCACCTGCCATTAATTTGCTGTGACCTTGGCAATTTATCCAGTTCTTTGAGTCACATCATGACAAAGTAAAATAATTTATAGGCTTAATAGGAAGCCAGATCAGGGAACAATACCTATGAAAGGATGCTCTAACAATGCTTATTTATTATCATTACCCAAAAAACTTTCTTTCACCCTGGCTTTCCAAATCTCTGCCTAGTTCTTGATTTTTCTGATGAGGTCTAGAATTTTTGCCAAAAGCAGGGAACAGCTTTTGGCAGCTTTCTGAGTCTTCACTTCCTTTCAATACCAGGCCTAGTGGAGAGCAAAATTAGCCTGCCAATCACTCAGAAACGTGTGGGCCCCAGGAAATTAAATTCCCCTCTCTCCAGCTGTCTACCCCCTAGTGCCAGGTACCCATGAATATGCAAGCCACACGTTTCCGTGTCCCTGTCTCTTCTTCCTATATGTTAATTGGATCATTTCAGTAGAATGAAACAAACCAAGTAGATTTGAGATGTAGTTAATCATTCCCAAAGGCCAGAGGTGGTGGAGTGTAGTTAGAGGGAAGGTGTGCATTGCTCTGTTATGTCACACTCTCGGATTTCAATGTCTCCTTTTTCTGGCCACCCTTTTCACCACTTCCCGCCCTTCCATAGCAGATGCTGAACAGAGACAGTGGTCACCATGCCTGGGCCTGGAGCACTGGTGGCTAACCCAGAGCCCCTGTCATGGGGGTCCTGGAGTGTGCAGCTGGCACTGGGGACAAACCCACAGAATCCACATAACTGCTTTCTGCAGACACACACAGTGGGGAAAACCTCACTCTAAATGCTTCCTATGTTTGCCAGTAGCATCCACATCTTCTCTGCTGTCCCTCAGGGAAATTAAGAAAGGCTCTCCCAGAAAGACTGACAACTCAGACAGCTGCTTTGTCTTACCTATCCTTTCCACTCTCATCTCTGGAGTGAGTTATCTTAAGCCTGACATTTGCCCAACCATTCAGAGTAAAAACCTTTTTTGTCCTGCAGGGTGAAAAATACTTTGGGTACACAGTGATGACTTTGATGTAAAAAGCCAAGTCTAGATCCCAAGGCAAGTGAGGGATAAAGAGATTTATCTAACTATTGGGTCAGCACTACGGCTGATTTGTGCCCCCTCCAAAACACGTGTATTGAAGCTCTAGGTCCCCAGCACCTCAGAATGTGACTATGTGTGAAGATAGGGCCTTTTTTTTTTTTTAAAGATTTATTTATTTATTTATACAAGCACTGGGTACAGTCAGAAGCGCAGGAAGGTGAGAGAATTCAGCAGAGCCAGAGCGGGAGCAGAACAGGCAGACTGACAAAATACACTGCTGAGGGGAGCAGCGGGCGTGGCAGGAGAGGTCTACGCAACATGTGGGACCCTCGCTGGCTGGCCAGGGAGTGAACCAGCACTGCAAATGTTGCAGGCAGCTTCACAGCCCAGCGCTCAACTGCTGCACCACCGGGGAGGCCCCCAAGATAGGGCTTTTATTTTATTTTATTTTTTTTAAGATTTATTTATTTATTTATACAAGCATTGGGTACAGTCAGAAGTGTGGGAGGGTGAGAGAATTCACCAGAGCCAGAGAGGGGAACAGAACAGGCAGACTGATGAAACACACTGCTGAGGGGAGCATTGAGCATGGCAGGAGAGGTCTTTCGTGCCATGTGGGACCTTCGCTGGTGGCCGGGGATCGAACCGGTAGTGCAGAAGCTGCGGGCAGCTTCGCAGCCCAGTGCTCAACCACTGCACCACCAGGAGATGCCTGGATAGGGCTTTTAAAGGGGTAATATGAGGTCATATGTGTGGGTCCTTCTCCAAGTACTGGGGTCCTTATGAGAAGAGATAAGACACAGACACTCAGCAGGAAGGCCCCGTAAGGACCCAGGGAGGGGATGTCCATCAGCAGGCCAAGCCTGAGAAGCCTCAGAATGAAGCCAACCAAGCAGACACCTTGATCTTGGGCTTCTACCCTCCAAAACTATGAGGAGATAAGTTTTCTGATGCTTAAGCTTCCCCATCTATGGCACTTTCTTCCAGAAATTTGGGCAAATGAAGACCCTCACTCCAGGAATTCATCAGCTTATCCAGGTCCAGCCTGAGCATCTGGGAACACCCAGGGCTCCTGCAGATCATGGAAAGAAGGCAGGCTTGTGAGTCCAGTCCCTGCTCTACCATATCTTACATGATCTTTCACAAATAACCATTTTGCACATCAGTTTCCTAATCTGTACAGTGGGTGCAACATGTGGCTACATCTCACTTAGAGAGTCATTTAAGATGAGTGATCGGTACTGTAGGACTCTTCATGCTCAATATCCAGGTCTCTAACACCATTTCCCTTAATAGTGATAAGAGCACATATTCACTGTATATATACATGATTTTCAGTGCTAGTGATTTGGCTATTCTACCCAAGGTATTTCATGTTTTCTGACCATTTTTTTCTTCTGGCAATCAAAGGCCATTCTGGTCTCCGGACTCCATGCCAGAGGTCATTCAATTTTTCAGCCTCTAGGCACCCTTCTCAGTGACAATGGGGAACTCACCCCTCTTCACCTTGCCTGGCCAATGCTCATCCAGCCTGGCTGGCCTGGGGAGCATCACCCAGGACCACAGCCCATGAGGAGCCCTGTCCCTCTCTTACCATCCCCAGATATTTTTGGATGTAGGTGAAACTTACAATCACGAACATCTGCAGCCAAACTCCAAGGATTCATTTTAAGTGATTGACATCACTGAGGGTGAGATTGTTGACCATGAACGTGATATATACCCCCTCGCCCCACAAAACACTAAAGGGGCGGGGTGAGGGTGGGGGATGGTTCTGCCCATGCCCGGTCCATTTCCAGGAATGGTGGATTTGAGAGTGAAGAAATACAGAGAGCACATGCAGATCTGACATTCTGAGGTGAGAGAAGCCACAATCTGGGGCAGAGGCTGACTGAAAACCATGAAGCCCCACTTGACATTCTCATGCCAGCTCATGGATGAATGGTCTTCAGTCACTCAGAGCCCCTCACAGAGAGAGTCAGCTGTGCAGACATGGCCAGACTCAGTGAAAGACTCACACCTCCACACACACAAGAAGGTGATGGACATACAGATACCATTTGAATAATTTACCATGCAGAGGACTTTCCAGAGGCTGTTACTACCAACACTTCTGGAAGCCGAATTAGTGATCGGTTTCTTGGTCGATAAAGAGTATGGTTTGCTGATACTTTTTGCCATATCTGAGGCCACTGTGATAATCCATTAGGGGATGACCAGAAGACTCAGGGTAGGTAAACTGCTCTTCACCTCACATCACTGCATCCCCTCAGCTCCTTAGTGGAAGTGAGTGGGCTTCCCATGGCTTACTCATGATCTCCTTCAGCATATACTTTGCCCAACTTAAAATTCCTCCCTCTGAGAGATTCCTTTTGCCTTTCAAGCGGAGGACCTAGATCTTCACCCAGACCCCCACTGCTCTGCAGGCTCTGTTCCACGCTGCACTCGGGCCCATTGCTTCCCCACGCTTTCTTTTCTCGGCCACCTGGGCTTTGCGCTGGTCATTGATCCTTCTGCCTGCAAAGTATTTCTGTTCTCTCTTTATCTGGTGACCCCAGGTATCCTTTATAAGTCAATCCAAGATTTTTCATGTCCCCAGGCAGGGTCATGGCCTTGGGATCAACCCATATCCCTCAATGCCTTTGTTTTGATTTGTTGTTAGACATTTGGTTCATTTCTATCTCCCTAGTTAGACTGGCAACCCCATTGACAGCAGGTGCTGGGGCTGCTTTTGCTCCCCACCATCCATTTCCACCTGGAACAATGTGGGTGGTACTGCTGCTCATGAAGGGGCCCAGGGAAACAATGCTGCCCCCTGCAGCAAATTCTTCCTGGAGCAGAGCTGGACTGGGAGCGAAACTCTTCTGGGAAGCCCTTGGGAAGAACACTGTTGGGTTAGCTGAACAGATTCAATGTTTCTCCACCCTGATCTCTCTTTAGAACCACAGGGTAGATTGGGGGGGTGGTTAAAACTCAATGCCTCACCCCGTGATTTACAGTCAAACTGGGTGGACCTGCCCCCCTCCCCCAACACGTGTCTGCCTGCATAGTCAGTCTACAGGGCCCAGCCAGGAGCCATTCCCTCATTTAACACTAAGTGCACCTTTCTTCCAAGTTCTTAGTAGTCCTTGCGCGTTATGCAAACCACTTCCAGTGTCTCATGTAGTTCGATCAGCATAATAGCAAGAGATCACCTCATCATTCCTATTTTGTGGATGAGATACTACAGCCCAGAGAGATTAGCATTTTGAGTAAGGACCTACAGCTCACACAAAGTGTCTGGGTTTGAAGTCATCTCTATTTAACTCCTGAGACTTGATTCTGGATACTGTACCACATCATGCTTTTGTGGTGAAGGACTTTGAGGACATTTTATGCAATACATTTATCTATCTATCTATCTATCTATCTATCTATCTATCTATCTATCTACCTACCTACCTACCTATCTATCATCTGTTTTCTCCTATAGCATCTACCTATTAGGAATGCTTGGGTATTCCTAAGAGTTACCAGGTAGTACTACCAGTTGAGAATTGAGGTTAAACAAAACAAAACAAAAAACTCGATTACCAGCTCCAACTGCTGGAATATCCGGGCTGTACCCCTCCCCACCCCACTTGTAGTTTTGAATTGAGAAAGTGTAGGCCTGTGTGACCCCAGCTCTGAGCTGCCCCCACTGCTCTCATGTTGAACAGGAGTCAGGTGGAAGGTATAATGAGGGAGAAGTGAAGACTTAAGACAACTAATTTTCCCCCTTCTAGTCCCCAATTTTGGACAAACATGGGGCCCAGAAGTGAATGAGGGAATTAAATTAACGATCACAATTTCTCCCTGTCATTGAACTCTGACTAATGAGTCTATTTCTGGGTAATAAGAAGGAGCAGGAAGTGACAAGGCAGTGTAATGAATTAGTGGCCCAGAACCTCGTTAGTCAGAATAATCTTTCCACGAAAGATAAATGATGCAAACATTAATTATAAAGCCAGAGTGGAAATGCATCCCATTATTTGGCTTCCTAAGAAATCTATCCTAGTTATTACGAGAGGCATTTCAAACAACAATAATAATAAAGAAAGGGCACAGGGAGAACTCTAACCCGTGGGGAGGCCCGCCAGTGGTGGGAGCAATGAGGACAACTCTGCTTTCTACAGGGGCTGATTCTCAATACTCACAGGAGCTGGCTGTGCCCTCTGGGCTTTTGTCCTAGAAAGGACAGTGCTGATTCCCTGGTTCCAGGCTGTGGGTCACCTGTAGCCTTGCTGTCTCTCCAGCTCAGTCATTCAGAGCCATATACTCTGGGTCATGAAGAATCAGGTGACATGAGGACTTCACCAGGAACTTTCTCTCCCATCAGAAAGAGGGCAGGGCCTGCATTTTTTCTGGAAACTGTAGCCTCCTAAAGTGACTCTCTTTAGGGTCACCCACTTTAGAGGTCACCCACTTTAGAGACCCAAACTGATAGAAATAGAGGGCAAGGGGGCAGTCATGGAAACTGTTAAGGTCAAACCCAGGAGCTGTGTGTTTGAAAAGTTACTTAGCCTGTTTTTTCAAGGGAGAATAGGTGATAGTGAAGGTATCTGGTTAAGAGGATTGTTTATGAGGATTACATGAGGTTTCCCATGAAGGTACTAGCACCAATTAAGGCTTCAGTGGATGTCATAAATTTCTTTTCGTTTCTTTTCAAGATTTATTGATTTATTTATGCAAGCACTGGGTATAGTAAGAAGCGTGGGAGGGTGAGAGAATTCACCAGAGCCAGAGCGGGGAACAGAACAGGCAGACTGATGAAATACACTGCTGAGGGGAGCAGCAGGTGCAGCAGGAGAGGTCTGCGCGCCATATGGGACCCTCCCGGTGGCCGGGGATCAAACCGGCACTGCAGAGTCTGTGGGCAGCTTTGCAACCCAACACTCAAGGCTGCACCACCAGGGGAGGCCCCCATCAATTTCTTTTTAATGTAGCGTTCAGGTTGAAGAACTGGCAGGAGTGCTGGGCCACAGAAGGTGCCCTTGGATACCGATAAGGGCAGGAGCGGGATGGTGCCAGCCTGCGTCACCCAGGGGCCCATGAGCACCGAACAGCCTGGCCCTGGCTCCAAGCTTCTGCCATCTCAGCCTGTTTTTTGTGGCCTGGAACTTTGTTGGGAGTCCAGAAGGGAAGGCAGGAAAGAGGGAGGAGGACTTTGCTCTGAACCAAAGTAGAGAAAGCTGAATCAGTAATAAATGTGGTTGCTGAGGCCATTACTCCGGAGAGTAAATAAACTGGAATTAAAAACTATAAAAAAAGTACTTGGCAGAGTCCTGGTCATAAACTTGTCCGTGACTTCTCAGCTTAGAGCTTCCTCAGCTTCTAAAGTCTCAGTTTCCTCTTTTCCACAGAGGGGCTAGTGCAGTCATTTACTGAAGGGAGAGTTTGAACTAAAGAGGCTGCAACTGACTCCCTAAGGCCCCTTCCAGGTGACATCCGATGGGAGTGGGGGCTGCCACTGCTTTTGTTTTTAGGGCTTTGTTGCTGTCTGACTGGCAACTCTTGGTAATGAAAGAAGAAAAAAACAATTAATTGGGAATGAATTTTAATTGACTCTGACTTCTCATTTGTAGGCTATTGAAATGAGTTCCCTATTAAGTGATCACATCAGGTTGCATCATTCTGAGAGCATGGAACGCACCCCTAAAGGGTCCCCCTCCCCACGTCCACTCCATCCTCACCCCTTTGGGCAAAATCTGGGCTTGTGGGTTTGTAACAACATGGACCAACTAAGGAACAAACACATCTGTTTGTGATTCTGTGGCATTGGTACCACTCACATTTTGCAAGTGCTGCGGGAAGATTGGGGGGTTTGAGCCAGTTCTCTGTCAGCTCTCTCTCTCTCCTCTTGGACCTAGGATTCCAAAAGACCTGGTCTTGTTCCCCCAACTAGGGGTGCAGTATGAAGATTCGATATCCATATGCACTGGGAAATGATCCCCATAATCAAATTAATTACAGTATAAGCTAATTAAGGTCAGCTCACATAGTTACCATTTTTCTTTTCTTTTCTTTTTTTTGTGGTAAGAGCACTTAAGATCTACTCTTCCAGCAAATACTCAGTATCCGG